TGTTAGCCTGTGTCTTTGTATTGGGGAATTGAGACCATTTATTTACATTCAGACATATTATTGAAATATATGTAATTTTATTGACTTTTTATGATATTTTCTTGGATCTCTTTTGATTAATTGTCCTGGTATTATTTGGACTCCTAGGTGCTTTTATTCTTCTCTTCAGATTGAAGTATTCCTTCTCATATCCTCTGTAGAGAAGGCTTGGTAGTCATAAAGTCCTTTAGTTTGTTTTTTATCATAGAAAGTTTTATTTTTCCTTCAGTTCTAATAGATGTGCTGAGTATGTTAATCTGGATGGCAGCTTTGGCCTTTCCAGGATGTGGAACACAGATTTCCAGGCCCTTTTGCCTTTAAAAGTTTCTGTCAAGAAATCCAATGCTACTCTTGGGCATACTTTGTACATAACTTGACCTTTCTCTCTTACAGATTTCAATGACCTTTCATTATTCTGTTTTTAATGTTTAGTTGTAATGTGTCAAGGAAAATTTCTCTTCTGGTCTTGTTTGTTTCACATTCCGAAGTCCTCTTTCTACATAGACAACATTTCTTTCTTTAGGTTTGGAATTTTTTTTCTTTTGTGATTTTTCCTGAAGATATTTTTATGTCTTTACTATGGTGTTCTTCTCCTGCTTTATGAGCACAAATCAGAGCTTATGTCTTTTCATGGTACCCCAAACCTTTCCATGTTCCATTTATATTTTTTTAAGATTTATTTATTATGAAAAAAAATATTAATTTATTATGTATACAGTGTTCTGCCTGCATGTATGCCGGCATGCCTGAAGAGGGCACCAGATCTCATTATAGATGGTTGTAAGCCACCATGAAGTTGCTGGGAATTGAACTCAGGACCTCTGGAAGAGCAGCCAGTGCTCATATCCTCTGAGCTATCTCTCCAGCCCCCATATATATTTTATATATTTTAAACTTCTCATTGACCTCTGCTGAGTGATCCAGTTCCTCTACTCTGTTTCCCATCCCTGACTCTCTGTTTTCATCATGGTCATTCTGTTGTTGAGGTATTCCATTGAGATTTTTAATTGGCTTACTGAATTTTCATTTCGAGCATCATTTCTTGGGGTTTTCTTAAAATTCAAACTATTTTCATGTCTTGGATTAGCTATCTTGTCTCATTCTTCTCTCTGGCTTTGTCTTAGAGTGTCGGATCATAATATTTATTGTTATTTTTAATTCTTTGAGAATTTTTAATTCTTTGAGTTCTTCCAGGTTATTTTTCAATAGGAGCCATTACTTTTGGTTTTTCATATTGTTTTTATTTCTGTGTTGGGATTTGAACATCTGGGGTTGGTTTGTTGGTTGCATTTTTCTTTCTTTCTTTCTTTCTTTTTTGTTTAATTGGCCTTTCTTCTCTCCCCAGGAGTGATTACAATCTTCAGGAGGCTAATCATACATGGGTTGAGAATGTTGATTACCTCTGTTTTTCTGGTTTGGGGGGGATACAACTTCTTTCTTAGGTCTTCTGTCTTCTGCTTGTCAATTACAATTTGATACCTTCAGTGGCTTGATCCAGGAGCATGAAACAAGTTTCCCCTAGAACAGTGTGGACCTTGAGATGGGCTAGGACAATGAGAGAGCCCAGACAGACTTCCGGCTAGGGCTCTGGTGAGCCCCAAAGGAGGAAATAGCTGTGTCTTCCAGCTACATGCACTGGCTGAAGAGTCCCTGGTGGGAGAACAGTCTGAGAACTAGTGAGTCCCAAAGGGAGGGAGAGGGCCTGGAGGAGGTCTCAGTGGAGTGACTAGAATGAAGAGAAGTATCATAATCTAAAGGCGCTTCGCTCTGTCTGTCAAGACATGATCCACAGAGCAGCACTGGGAGATGGAAGAAGAGTGGAAACACATCAACAGCTGTTGGGGTCTGGATAGATTATCAAAAGCCATAGAATCCCAGGGGGAGTTCAAAAGATCCAATGTCTCGGCCTCCTAACACACCACCAAGGCTGTGAGAAATAACATAAGTCTAAGAGTGAAAGCAGCTAGCAATAGGTTCAAACCTCAGCAAAAACTTGAATTCTTCTGCCTTAGTTTTCCCCTCTGTGAAATGGGAATAATATATATCCTCACAGCATTTGTCATAGGGATTCACACAATGTGCAGCTGTGAATGGAAAGAATCCAACATAGTTCCTAGAACCCAGAGAATACTCAGTAATGTTTGGCTTGCTTGTTGTTATAGCAATGAATAAATATTGCAGTATAACCAATCTGTCCTGGCCAGATGGAAGCCAATACCCAATCTTGATATGATCAGAGACCATGATGGCATCAGCTTTTGCTGAGTACCCCAAAGAAAAATCAGTTGCTATTCATATTTTACTCATCCTCACTTTGAAATATTTAATCCATGTGGGAAGTATCTCCAGCATTTTAAGTTTCCCTGTGAAATTTCATGAAAACATGAAAATGTTTTCCAAAGCAATTTAGAACTGTGCCTTCCTAAAGTTGGGAAATCAGATTCACAGAAGGGACACAGCCAGATCACCCAGCTTCAGAAGTTGTTTTTCAAGCAACAATCCATACTAACATTGGCAATTGGCAGTTAGCCAACTTTTGCTAAGTTAAGTCCAGCCTTAAGAACCTCACAGTCTTGTAAGGAAGCCCTTGCCATTTCCTGCAGCTTCCTGTTCAACACTGGCAGCGAGCACACCTGACGTCCACATTCAAAGAGAAAGACCGAGTCCAGTGAGAGGAAGTCCAGGTTGCTGATTCAATGCTGCCTTTCCCCAACCTAACCCAGAGCCTTGGAACCCAGCAAACAATCAGGAGCTATTTCTTGGGTGCACGAATGGATGGAATGCTTCCATGGGTACTTGAACAGGAGTTGAATACATTCCTTTCCCTTGTCATACTGTGGCTTAGGGTCTGAGACACACAAGAGTGAATTTACATCCAACGTCAAGATTTGGAGAGATTTCGTAGGAGACAGTTACAGAACTGTAACATTCCTAAGACCCAATTACCCTTGACTTGAGTATCTACGATAAAACTTTAAAGTGAATTGCCCACTGATTATAGGGGTGTGAGTGTTTGTCAGGTTAAAGAGAGCCCCCACTGGACCTCTCTTTGTCGGATTATTACAGTGGGCTGTTGTGCTGTATCCACGGGCTGCTCTAGCGCTCGCATTCCTCAGCAGGTACTCTGAGTTAGTAACTCAGGTTACTAACATCACTCTTGTTAGGAACAGGTGAGGCCAGCTGTCTTGCTCCATCCTGATCGAGCCAGACTTTGCACTGCTTTCCTTTACAGCCTCGCACTTGTCCAAAGTTTCAGGTCATGCTCAAAGACTGATCTATTGTTTTCTTTCCAGGAGGAGGGGAGAAGCATTAGGTACCTGGCACCCAGCAACACCCAGAGTTACCGTGGAATTCTTCAAAGTAATAAAGGGCTAGATGAAGGGTTCCTTGCTGGTACAACCAGGTCACAAGCCTAAGAAGGTTTGATGGGCATGGCTGGCTCTGTCCCCAGGGCGTACATACTCTGTTTTCATCTGGGCTTTGCTGCCTAGAGCTGAGTTGCTTCTCCTGGCTCCCTGCAGAACCTCCACACTCCAGGAATTTGGACGGAGTGGTAGAGACATCGCCGGCAGAGACGGCGATCGCCAGCTTCCTCCCTGGGGTGTCTTGTGATTCAGAGCACATTCTGCTCCACTCTTTTTAAAAGAGCAGCATGTTGATGCTTGAGACCTAAGAACAGAATCCAGCAAGGAAACCGCCATTTGATCAAAGAGTCGGTGAGTATGCATGCAGCTCATCCGTGGTAGCCACGGCATGGCTTGGGTCACCTGGAGCCTGGGCACCAAAGTCTGGTTGCTGAGGGTGGCTAGTGTTTGGGGAGTTTGTAGAAACTGCAAGAGCTCTCAAAGTAGGACTTAAAGCTTTCAGTAATAACCCTAGACGAAAGGCCACTTTCCCTCCAGACACACAAGCGCAGGCAAATTCCCACTCACTGGGTTCCAAGGCTGTATGCATGTGTGCTCAGCTATGAAGGGAAGAACTGGAAAACATGGCTTTTTTTCTCTCGGGTCTTTATCTAAAGTGAACACCGCTGAGTCCAGGGCCTTGCTTGGAAGCTTGTATAGGAAGTGTTTTGAACTGAGTCTCTCTCTCCCATCAGCCTAGCCGGGTCCCGCAGTTAAAGCACTCGGTGAAGATTGCCATTGTCTGTCCACTAGCAGAGCCATTGAAGATACTCTGCTCTGCTCTCTCGGGGAATGACTCTTACTCGTGGTAGCCTGTCTTCCTTGGAAGGGAAGCCCCTTCTGAGGAGGGGTTTCTTTTGATTGATTTACTCTCTGTAGAGTAACCCATCTAGAACGGATTCTAGTATTCCAGGCCCCGTTATCCCATGAATCAGTCTTTGACTGTACATATGCATTCTTGATATTTTATGTAGCCCTCCTGAAGGCCAGGGTCTGCCACAGCCCGGTTCCTCTCCCCATACTGATGAGTCGCTGATGTTCTCTAGCACACAGTCCCCATGACTGTAGTTGTGAAAGCTAGTATGTTTATTAGAATATTAACCCAGTGTACGTAATTTCTTTAGCGGAGAAGATAATCTTTGAGTGTGATCAATGTTATAACTACTCATGATAAACGTGGCACAGCTGTAAACAGGCTAAGTGCCAAGGAACAAGGAATAGGATGCACTTTGGGCAGTCTTTTCCCCAACATAATGATTTGTTTTGATAGGATCAGGACTTTCCCAAGGCCACACGTGCGGGAAGTAACGGGAGCAGATCTTCAACCCCGTGATTGAGTTTTCAAAAGGATCCCAGCCCAGTCAAGCAACCTAGACAGGTAGGAGGATCACGGTGAGTAATCAAGAAAGTTCAGCAAGCCTGGTCTTTGGCCATTCCCGGCCCCTGGAGACAAAGCTGGGTGCCGTGGTTCTCAGGCGATGGGACAAGCTGTCATCACTGTCGCCAGCATCTCTCCTTCTGCTTCTCCTCCTCCCTCCGAACTGCAGGTACCCAGCCTCCATGCCGCCTCTCCTGCTGGTCACCCTCTTTCTTCTCTCCTCCTGCTCCTCGGCAGGAGGAAGCAGCCCCCTCAGTGAAGGCCTGTGGTTGCTGAAGACCGAGTTTGCCCTTCACCTCTACCGGAGTGCAGCAGCAGAGAGGAATGGGACAAATTTTGTCATCTCCCCCGCCAGTGTGTCCCTCTCCCTGGAGATCCTGCAGTTTGGAGCCCGGGGAAACACTGGCTGGCAACTGGCAAGTGCCCTGGGGTATACGGTGCAAGGTAAGAGGCTTTTTCTCTCTTGCCTGGTCCCTGCTCCTCTCTGCTCCCGTGCTCTCAGGAATGGGGAGCTCAGCTCCCATGGCCGTGCGTGCGTGCGTGCGTGCGTGCGTGCGTGAAGCACTCAGACGTTACAGCCATGCTTGTTCTCAACTGTGCAGCCTCCCTTCCAGCCTCATGGCAGTACGTCAGTCTTGAGCAAGCCCCGCCCCCTGTTATTGTGCCTGTTGTAGCTGGGCAGCATGGGAAACACCTTGTAAACATTCACTGATTGCTTCAACACCCTTTTGAGGTTGATGATGTCATTTCCATCTTTATCTGGGGAAGTAGATAGGCACAGGGTGGAGGCAACTTGCTGGGTCACATAGCCAATCAGTGGCAGGGCTGGATTTAATTCAAACTGTTTAGATCCAAGACCATGCTTCTGGCCAACCTATTGTCATGATTCTGTGATTTCCGGCCAGTGCTCAATTCATCGGCTTAAATCTTTGTATTGTGTATCTCAGAACAGCTCCCCTGACAGTGATAAGAGTCTTCAGGACACAGTTCAGCCCACATGAACCTACACTCCTAATGCAGCTCAGCACTTGACCAACTATAGGCTACGGCAAACATCACCTTCCCTTGTCAGTCTCAGAACAGGATGCAAATAAAAAGCTTACTGTGGCGGCTGAGGCAAATTTCTCAGTTCCAGTTATGGAGCAAAAACCCCATCTCAAAACAATGAACCTGTCACTAAAAATGACACGAGTGGTCTTTGTATGAATTAAGATTTGTCAGAAGAAATAATGTCACAAGAAATAATGTCAACCCAGCCTGGCCACGGCTTCCTTTGCTGGCAAGGACCCTTGAGCTGGCAAGCCAAGATTGGCACTCAACAGGTCAGGTACCAAGTGCCTCCTGAACTGCCTGTCCTCCTGGGTGCATACGCTGGCCACTGCTGAAACAAGTCTTACACTCCAGCTGGATAACAGATGGGTTTGTTCTCTCCCGTGACAACTGAAACTCAAGGTAGTTTTTAGACCTTTGCTGTTCTCAGCAGCTATGAACCATAGGAGTGGACAGGTCCACGGGCTCCCGTTACAGTCAGCAGAGCACGATTCACCAAGAGTTGTGGTGCTCTCCCAGAAGGGCCACGACTGCTTAGGGACTTGGCTTGTGTACGTAAGGAGAACTCTGAAGGCAACTCGGTCTCAGGGGAACAACACGTGTAGATGGGGGTGGGTGCTGTGTGTGTTTGTAGATGGAGTGGGTGCCGTGTGTGTTTGTAGATGGGGGTGGGTGCCGTCTGTGTTTGTAGATGGAGGTCAGTGCTGTGTGTATTTGTAGAGGGGGTGGGTGCCATGTGTGTATTTGTAGATGGGGATAGGTGTCAAGTGTTTTTGTGATTCCACCAGCAGGTCAGAGGATCCCCAGAAAATAATATATGTGACCTGGCCAGGAAGCAGAAATGCAAATACAAAGGAAAAGGCGGGCCCTTCAGCCTTCCACAGAGTCCCACACAAGTCAGGATGATTAGAGTGGGACGTGCAAGAGAGGGTCAGTTCCAAGACCGGATGCCATCACGGTACCTGGTTAACTGGCTGACAACTATGATGATGAAAATGGGGCTTCCACAGAGCCCATTAGATCCTGTCCAGGTGTCAGGAACTCTATTGCAGGACAACAAACCCCTTACATTTCTGAACCACACACTGCTCTAGCTTCGCCTGGAGCCATCATCAGTCAGTAAGAACAGGGACAGGCCATCCTCAGAGTCTCTTCATCACTCTCTCCATTTTAGTTGTGTTGTGCCCTGCTTACAGTCATACACCAATGCCAGCTGCCTGCCACAGCCCAGCTTTTCTTTTACAAGATAATACAGGACTGGAAAGATGTCCATAGCACAGCAGTTAGAAGCACATGCTTCTCTTGCAGAGGACCCACACTTGGTTCCCAGCACTCATGCCAGAGAGCTCATAAACACCTGCAACTCCAGCTTCAACACCGTCTTCTGGCTTCTGGGAGCATTGCGTTCATATACACAGAATTTAACTTTTAATATATTCTTCATTTTTAATTAAAATATAATTACATCATTTTCCCTCTTTCCTCTCCTCCCTCAGCTCCTTCCCATGTATACCTCCAACCCCCTTGCTCCTTCTTGAAATCGTGGCCTCTTTTTATTTGCTATTGATACACACACACACACACACACACATAAATACCTAAATATATAAACACAACCTGTTCAGTCCACTTAATGTTACTTGTATATGTACGATTTCAGGGTTTGACCACTTGGTATTGGATAACCAATTAGGGGAGGGCTCTTCCGTGGGGGAGGCTATTTCTTCTTTTCTCAGCATTCCTCAGTTGCCTGTAGTTCTTTTTCTAGGGCTAAGACTCCAGGAGATTTCCCTTCTATATTAGCACGTCTATCGTTGCCCTGCTTGCATGGGTAAAACATCCCTGTCATTTGTGGGAGACACAGTCCCACAGTAGATTTCTTGGTCCTCTCATTTTTACAGCCTTTCAGCCCCCTCTCCCTCACTGTGTTTCCTGAGGTGAAGGAGTTGTGCTGCAGGTGTTATCTACTGGGTCTGGGCACTACAGAATCATCATGCACTGCATTTGACCAGTTGTGGTGTTCTGTAAATGGTCTCCAATCTGTTGCAAGGAGAGGTTTCTTTGGTGAGGGTTGAGTGCTACTCTTATCTGTGGGTATGAAGACTAGATATTTGGAATGCCCTTAGGAATTATGCTGGTTAGTAAAGCAGTGGTTGCAGGTTCTCCTCTAAGATCCGGGTGGTTGGCTAGGTTTCCCATACCAAGGATTATTTCCCTCTTGTTGAGTGGGTCTTACGTTCAATTAGAGAGCTGTGGGCTACTGACAACGTATGTTTACCACTGTTACACCTCTGGGGTTTTGTGCCATGCTGAAGTCATAGTTGTAGTTCTGCTGTGTAAGACTACTGGCTGCTTCCCTCCCTTGGAAGCTTGCACAGCAACTTCCAATACTGTGAAAACAAGTCCTCAGGGAGCAGGCTTTCAAGTCAGATCCAGCCTGGATTCTCTGGGTCTTGTGTCTATGGGGAACGCACAGTTCCCCAAGGCTCCAGCTTCTAAGCATTTTCATTATTCTTCTAGGTAAATTAATGAGACCACTTTAGCACAGAGGGTTCAGAAAGGAAGGTGGTCCAGTCCCAGGGAAAGAATTCTGTTTAGTAATTTGAATTCTCTTTTGCATCTGTGCCATTTGATCCTCACAGACTAACACAAGAGATAAATGGCTTGGCAAAGCCCATCTGACCCAGTGGCCGGTGACAGAGCCAGGGTTCCAGCTCCAGATGGTTGATTCCAAAGCCTGTGCTCTATCTACAGTTCCTCAGCCCCGCCGGGGCCAGGAAGCAGTTGCATCAATTTATAAGCACTTTGCTTTCTCTCTTCCCCATCAGAGGCAGCTTCATTCTCCTCCCATCCCAACCACGCCTGCTGGGGAGCACCTGCACACACCCCTCTCAGAGTTCTTGAAAATTAAAATATCTGTATTTGAAAGACATTTCTCATAGTTTGAAATTTTTATAGACATGAATCTTCCAGAGTCTAGAACCTTCCAGAGCCCAGATCCACCAGCTTTGGAGTCACCTGTCAAATAAACTAAAAGGATGATTTTTCAGGTCCTGTGGGTTTATTTTCTTCTTCCTTTTCTCTCTCAGCACCCTGTTACAACTACTTAATTCTAGGCACTCTCCCAACACCTTTTTACTTTGGAGGAAGGAGGCTGAGTGGAAGCCAGCAGAGACATGGTTCCTCTCAGAGAGCTTGGAGAGCCTTGTCTCAGCTCTCAGACCATTCACTTCTGCCCCTCTAGAAGGCTCTAGAATGTAGTAAATATAGCCCCCACCCCACCCCAAAAGTCTATGTGCTCCACACCTCCTGTTCATCAGGAGAACAGAGATCCCCCAAGCAGGGTCTTCTCAAGCCCAGACATTCCTCTTCCTGTGGGCCACAGGCTGAGGAGACAGCAGCACTACCTCTGACATGGTGACCCTAAGCAAGTGACAAATGGGTTTGAGCCTCAGCTGCCTCCTCCCTACAACAGAAGGACCACAGCCTTTATTTCAAAGTGTTGCTGAGAGCATTCGTTATAACTGGGACTGTGGAGTGTTGTGTACAATGTTTGTAGACAGCATCAAGCTTTAAAAATCTATTCTAGCATTACACATTCTGGAATGTATGTAAACGAGCTTCTCTGTGTGTAGATGGACAGGGATTAGTCAGGCTCAGTGGAGACAGGAAATCACATAAAAATCCACTTCAGGATGTTCACTCTGCTACTATTTCTGGCTCTAAGAACAGCAGTCCCAGGCTGTGTTGTTGTTGTTGTTGTTGTTGTTGTTATTGTTGTTGTTGTTTCTCTTTGCTGTGATGGAACATCTGACAAGAGAAGTTTAAGAGAGCAGGGGGGTTAGTTCAGTAAGACCCTACATTCGAGAACTTAGGTTTGATATGTTGACAAGGCAGATGTTCTGACACATTGGGAAGAGGAACCTTAGTTGAGAAAATGCTTCCCTCAGATTGTCCTGTAGGCAAGACTGTGTGACATTTCCTTGATTAATGATGGATGTGGAAGGACCCAGTCTACTGTGGGTGCTGCCACCTGGACAGCTAGTCCCTGGGTTGTATAAGAAAGCAGGCTGAGCAAGACACAGGGAGCAAGCCAGGAAGCAGCGGTCTTCTGTGGTTTCTGCTTCAGTTCCTGTCTCTAGGTTCCTGCCTTGAGTTTCTGCCCTCATTGAGGGACTGTAAACTGTAAGGTAAAGTAAAATAAACTATTTCTTCCCCAAGTTGCCTTTGGTTGTAGTGCATAATCACGGCAAAGCCTAACTTGGACAGCAGCTCCTTAGCCATTGCCCACCATTGTTACAATACTGCACATATCTAACTCTCTAGGTCCATCTTAGAAATTCCATCATGGCACAATGGACCTGCCAGATCCCAGCTCTAGGCTCTCCTGCTGTGGAATATTTATACACTGTGTGACAATGTGTTGCTGTGATTGGTGTAATAAAAAGCTGAATGGCCAATAGCTAGGCAGGAGAGGATAGGCGGGACTTCCAGGCAGAGAAGGAGGAAGTCAGAAGGATGAATCTAGGTGCACCAGAAATGCCAAGAGGTCGCAGATCAAGTCGGACATATGGGACAGAGAAAAGGTAACTGAGCCATGTGCTAGAACGTAAAATAATAGAAACAGGTTAATTTAAATTATAAGAGCTAGTGGGACAAGCCTAACCTAATGGCCAAGCTTTCATAATCAATAAGACGTCTCCATGTTTGTGAGCCCGTGGCCAACAAAAAAAGTTTGCTACACTCACCTCCAGGAACTCAGCAATGTCCCTGAATCAGGAAGTCAGGAAAGCGCAGCTTTGCCACTTCCAAGGCATCAGCAGACTCCCTTTCAGCTACATTTGTTCGTGATCTAGCATGTTTGCGGACCAACTTTTAAGCTACAGGGTTAGGTGGATTTCGACTCAGGTAGCGCTGCCATTTCCAGTGAGGGATTTTTTTTGGGGACACACCTTCTGAGACAACCTGCAAGACGGGAGCTGTGCAAGCCCTTAAAGCACTCCCTTTTCACAGACCCGAGAGTGAGAGCGTTCCTGCACGCTGTTTATACCACACTGCACAGCTCCAGTCAGGGCATCGGGATGGAGCTGGCCTGCACCCTTTTCATGCAAACCGGAACGTCTCTGTCCCCCTGCTTTGTGGAGCAGGTCTCCGGGTGGGCCAACAGCACTCTGGAGCCAGGCAACTTTAGTGAGCCCAACAGCACCACCCTGGAGGTCTCTAAAGGCACAGCCAGACAGAGCACAGGTAAGAGGCAAACCATCCTCCTTGGCGAGGCCAAGGGCAGAGGGCTGGAAAGAAATAGTGTCATCACCCATCATTTGTCAGAAGCCGTGGTGAGGCTCAGGATGCCCTGAATTACGGCAGAGGTTGAGACGGCAGATCTGCCTTTGAGTGACGGTGACGTCCATGTTCTGTGAAACAACCAAAGCTGGCTTGTGCCTCCTCGGTTCCCCCTCTTTCACACCCCAGCATAAATACACACATCCGCGCACATAAACACCCATACTTGAGCACATGGGCACACGGAAAGGTGTTCCTCAGAGCCTATCACCTCTGGAAATACCCTACGGGATTTGCCCCATGTCACTCTCCCCAGGCCATTTCTCACCGAGTTCTGTTTTCACCTACAATTAACCCCAGGTGACAGACAGCAAAATGCAGAGGGGGGGGCTGCGGGGGGGGTGTGGGCAGAAAAGTAGCTTCTGGGAAACTTAGGTTAAGGAAACACACACAAGGACAAGTTCTAATTAATGTTTCACTTGGTTCTATTGGAGTTTTGCTATGCATAATCCAATCATCAGTGGTACCACCGTGTGCTATGATTGTTATGAAGTGGGTGGAAGTCACAAACACCTGCTAGCCTTTCATCTATTTATTTAGTGCTGTTTGAAATCGGATTCCATTTCACCCGCCCATTGAGTCTAAAAGGTGGGGGCTGTCTCCTTTTCACAAATGGAGGAACCAAAGCAGCAAGGGTTGAGTTTCTTGCTTGTCCGTGGGCCGCCAAGCCAGGATTCTAATCCAGGTAGACTGGCTGCAGTGTTCTTGGTAAACACACAAAAGACTCAGATAAATGGAGAATGTTCAAGATCCAGTGTTGCTTAAAAACAGGGCAGAGGCCAAGCCTTTAATCCCAGCACTTGGGAGTCAGAGGCAGGCGGATCTCTGTGAGACCAGGACAGTCTCCAAAGGTACACAGAGAAACCCTGTCTTAGAAGACCAAGAAACAAACACACAAACAGAAAGCTGGGATGCATGTAGACTGAGTCCTGCACTCCCTCAGTATTTTCAAATGCTCTATGCTGTCTTCAGCAATTTATTTTACAAGGAGTGATCTTTGCGGCCAGAGATATGGCTCAGCTGTGAAGAGGGTGGACCTGGAAGCCCACAACTGCTTTTAACCCCCTGTGGAGGATCTGATACCCTCTTCTAGCCTCCAAGGCCACCTGCTCTCATGTGCACATACTCCCACGGAGACAAACACATAGACACATAGTTAAAATATGTTTTTAATTAAGGAGTGATTCCCTGTCTCCTCCTTGAGCTACCAGGGAACCCACTCAAAATTCAACATAGGTGTTCTCAACTCACAGCCTGGCTTCCCCTTAAGAAAAAGGAAGACTTGGTGTAGCTATTCAAAGCGATGACCATGGAGCTGGTGAATATGCTTAGATTCAAAAGCAAGGATCTTTTGGGGGGTGACTGGGTGGATGGTAGTATGTGGGCAACTTCTCTGAGCCCCACTTCTCTCATCTGGGAAATGAGGAACGACACCAAAAAGTCAGGGAGATTTCTTCAAGCATTTAGGCAGAACTTGGCCCAGAGTGTGTTTATTAAACATCTGAAGGCCTGGAACAGAAACTGTCCCTGTAGGGATGGTCTGCTTGCTCCTTCCTGTTCTTACATGACGTTCTAACCGCAGCCCTCCGCAGACTGTGTTCAGATCGTAGTTGCCTCAGCAAAGGTGTGGTGAGGGATACAGCTCAGCAATTAGTGGCCCCCAAGATGGGGGTGACAGAGTGAAGTCTTCTCTAGAGCTCCCTGCAAGCATCTGCCTGGGGAGACTGCCTGCTGATCTCTGGGAAATGACTCAACAGACCCGGGGCATTCTGGGCACCAGTGAGAAACAGGGAGGGAGGGAGACTATAATGAATACATGCTAATAAGAAGGCTGCACTTCAAATTCTAAGGTGCCTGACTGTCCCTGAGCCCTTGAGCGGGGAGTGCGGTTATCAGGGGCCCACTGGGAGCCTGAGTTCTCACTCCCCATTTCCATGACAATAAGTTCAAAGCCAGTTAGCAGCCAGCCACTGTGGGTCCCTTAAGCAAACGGAATTAAAGCTTCTCTGATAAACTGAAAATAACATGAATCGGGAGGAGGGGGGAGGAAGGCCGGAGTGGGGAGAGGAGAGGGAGGGAGAGAGAGAAACAAGCTCTTCTATCTATAGGTGAGGGCCCAGGTAGCCCACTGTGGGGACAGGCTGGTGCTCTGTCTACTCAGCTCTCCATCATGAGCACCATGACCTTCCAAAGTACCTGGCAGAGGAGATTCTCTTCCCTGGCCTCACAGGCCCTGCCTTTCACCTGTGCCCATGGCCTCATCCTTCAAGTCCCAGCGATGCACCAAGTGGCAGAGGTCAGCTATGGTGAGTCCCCCTCCCCTTCACATCAGAAAGTTAGCCAGCAACTCAGACAAGAGAGGGGAGGTGGTCTCTGTGTCACAGGGTTGGATGGACACATGGGTGAGGGAAGGAAAGCAAGCGCGGAGTCGCAGGAGACTTACAGAGGGGCCTTGGATGGTGGTCCATCCGGATGCCCAGGACACAAATGTGGGAGAGAACCCCATTCGTGCCTGGCATTGGCCTCTGCACTGAGTATGAACATGATCGTATGAAATCAAAAATGCCTGGACCAAACACCTCTCCTAGAAGACACTTTCATGGCAGAACACCCAGCCTGGACCAAATGAGGGCTAAAAGGCCTCCAGACTACAGGACCCCCTGGTCCTGAAATGCCATTGCTCCGTGTGGCCCTCCTGCCTATGGTTACTTGTCCTGATCAGTGGGGGAGGTTCCCAGTGTCAGCAGATGCCTGGTGGGCTCATGTATGCTATAGATGCCAGCCGGCTCTGTGCTAAGGATGAGCCACAGCTAACACTCATCTCCCCCTTTCTCCCTAAATCCCCCCAGCAGCACCCCATCCCTCCTCCAGCCCAGTGTGTTCTGCTGCAATCTGCCACCTGTCCCATCACATCCTTCTGCAATCACACTCTGCCTGGTGCCCTGGACTTGTCTTCAACCAGCAATTTTCTCTACCCACAAACTCGCAGGTGCCCAGCCTGAGAACTATGTGTTTACGTCACAGTTGAACACCATCCGTCCTCAAGCCAAATCCAGCCAGGATGTGTGTTTTGTTGGGTCTGTGAGGTGTTTCAAGAGTTGGGGATTTTTCATAGGAAATGTAGACTTAAAGCCTTTCTTGAAAAACAAGATGTAAGACAAAGATCCTGGGCCCCAATAAGCACAGACTGGTCAAGCTCCCTCAAGACATTGCCCCAGCAGGCTCAGCTACTATGGATCCTTGAGTAAGGCCCCATGGGAGATCTTAGAGGGCTTTAGGGCCAGTAAAGGGGCCATGTCACCCAACAGTTCCCATACTCAGACTGCTTCCTGAGGCTGAAATTGGCACTCTCCTTTACTATTGCTGTCTTGTAAGTCTGCCTACCCCAGGTTATGGCATGTATGGTGTCCCTGGCTGCTAAGACAGAGCTAATTCTTGACCCACTGAACCCTTAGGTCAGTTCCAGGATGCTGCGGGCCATAAAGTAGATGTTCTAGAGCTGTTGTACCTGGGAAGGGTGGCCAGTTTGTTCCTGGTGCTTCCGAAAGACAAGGATACCCCTCTGGACCTCATTGAACCGCACCTCACAGCCAGAGTCATCCATCTCTGGGCCACCAGGCTGAAGAGAACCAGGATGGATGTGTTCCTCCCCAGGTGAGTAGCTGCATCTTCCTTACAGGGGAATCAGTATGGTAACCAGTGGGGCTTAGCGGTCAGACTCCAAGGCCAATCCTCCTGCTGGGCTAGCTTGTCAAATGAGCTTAGGCTAAGGAGAAGTTCCCTGGGGGTCGAGTCTCTTCTAAAGTCACTGCAAAGTAGATCATGGCACATACAGTTGAGTTAACTTCCTGGGTTAACTTCCACCTGCCTCTGCCTTCTAATGCACTGAGAACCACTCCCGTGGAAAGCAAGAGCAGAACTATGTTTACAGCCCTCAGGGGCTGTCCTGAGCGGTCACCCTCTATCAGGCCCCACATCCCAAAGGCCCCACCAACTCAATACCACTACCCTGGGAGCCAAGCTTCCAGCACAAGAACCTTTGGGGACACACCCAAGCAAAATTTAAATGATGTAACTGAGTTTTGCCTCCTTGAAGAAGCCACTGGCCACCATGACGTGCAACACTTTTCTAAGGACATTCTCTCTCTCTAAATGTGATATAATGCCCATAAAAGTCACTTTTAAAGTGCACATTGAGCCAAGTGTGCTGGTACACTACTTTTAATCCCAGCACTCAGGAGGCAGAGGCAGGCAGATCTCTGAGAGTTTGAGGCCAGCCTGGTCTACATAGTTAGTTCTAGGACAGCCACAGCTATTTAGCAAACCCTATCTTAATGAATAAATAAATAAATAAATAAGTGCATATTGCATGTCTTTTTTAGTATATTTACAAAATTGTGCAACCATGAATACTAGTTATAATTTTTTTTGAGTGTTTCACATAGCCAAGGATGACCTTCAACTTCTGACCCTTCTGCCTCTGGATCCTGACTCCTGGACTCATAGGTGTGCACCAGGGCAGATGGTCTATGTAGTACTGGGGATCAAACTTGGGACTTCGTGCATGCTAGGCAAGCACTTTATCAACTGAGCTACACCTCCAACCAACTCCAAGTTCTGAAAGAGGTTCATTACCTTAAAAAAAAAACGCATATTCATTAGTCATCACTTCTCAGTGCTAGGCAGCCACTCCTTTGCTCTATCTCTATGGATTATCTTTTAGGGATAGTTCGTGCAAATCAAAAAGTACAGTGTTAGCCTTTTTATTGGACCTTTTTCAGCTAGCACAAAGTTTGAACATTTCATCTCTTTATAATGACTGAATAACATTCTAGTGCATGGATATACCATGTTTGATTTAAGCATTCTTTTTAAATGCTTTTAGTTGAAATGGAATAACATTACTTTTCCTCCTCCCTTTCCGCCTTCCAGGCCTTCCCAGCTACCCTCTCTGGAGCCGCTCCCATGCCCCTCCTCAAATTGCTATTATAGTTACATACATACAGCAGTCATTAGCTGCCTTCAGTTCTTTATCTGGAGGTGTGACTCAGAGGAAATTCCCCCCTTTCATGTTAACAGGTCCATTGATGGCCACTGCTCTGGTCTTGCTTATGCAGCCATTTCTAGGAGATACTGTTTTGTGTAATTCCTAAAAATCATTGCCTAATTAAAGTCTCAAAGATCAATGCCTAGTTTTCCCAAGAGTTTTATAGGTTTCATTCTTACTTTTAGGTTTTTGGTGTGAATTAATTACTGTGCCTTGACAACTTGAGGGCCAGGGAACACCACCCTCCCTTGCTGTTGGAAGTTTGCATGTAACTCTTGGCTTCCACAAAACTACTAATAGCCTGCTCTTGACTGCTCTTGTCCCAATATCAAGTTGCTACGCACCATATGTATTTTGTGTACAGTATGTATTATGTATGGTTAAAAATAAATGAGGCCCACAGGAGACCACTTCTAACTGGCCACCTTCACAGAGATAATCATGGAATAGTGGGGGAGTACTGCAGATGCTCAACAGAAGAGGCCGTGAAATGATCACACCAGGGGGTCAATCTTACGCAGTTATGAATCAACTCAGCACCTTTGCATCTGCTCACATTCTCAAGAGTGAAACTGCTGCTTGTGACAGTCTCTATGTGTATGTTAAGCTTAACTTGTTTTAACATGTTTGTACGTGTCTTCTGGTAGTAAACAGCAAATTAGACCAAATGACATACATTCCCCTTCAGCATTATTTTTCTAGGCTGCATAGTTCACCCGTGAGATTTTCAAATTGTTGCAGATTTTCCAATTTTCCATAGTAAGTGGACCCATCAGTTGAAGCCCATGTTATTTTGAGAGTCAACTGTTTTTAGTGTGAAGGGAGGCCAAGCCTTCATGTGTTTGCATGTGGTGATTGGCCCAGCATCCTATACATTTGTTGAAAGGATCATTCTTTCCTTCATTATGTGTTCTTGACATCATTGTCAAAATTAATTGCCAAACATATGGGTTTATTTCTGAACTCTCAGTTTGATTCTATGGGCATAGATTCTTGTATTTTTACAGTGTTGTGTCAATGTGGCTCCTAGAACACCAGTCAGTCTAGAAATCAGGAAGTGAGTCCAACCTTGTTCCCTTCTTCCTAGAGACTTTTACTTACGAATTTTAAGATCAAACTTACTGGTTTCTACCCCAAACAAGCAAGTTGGCATTAGACACGGGGATGTCTTGAATATGTATGTGAGTCAGGGAGTACTATCTTCTGACATGGGTGTCTCAAGCTGTGAGCTCTGGATGCCTCCCATTCAGTTCACTGTTTCTTGACAGTGTTTGGTGCCTCTAGGGATTCATGCCTTGCACTTCCTTTACTAAATTTATTTCTAAGTATTTGGCTTATTTTGGTGGATTAGAATTGGAACTATTTTCTGAATTTCATCTTCACTTTGTCAATATTAGAAATGCTATTGATCTTTATATATTTTGATACTGTATCTCAAATGAGATTATCTCAAATTAGCTCTAAAAGGGTTTTTGAGTGTTCTTCGGTATTTTCTACACACAAGACCAAGTCATCTATGCATTCAAATAGTTTCTTCTTCCCTTTTTAAACTCTATTTTATTTTACAACATTTTTTTTCATGGTACTGGGGACTGAACTCAGAGCCTCTTGTATGTTAGGCAAGTGCTATACCACTGAACTATATCCCTAGCCTTTACTTCCTTTCTAATATGGATGCTTTTATCTCTCTTGTGCAACTGCCTTTCCCATCATCCTGCACAAGGCCAAATAGAAGTGGTGAGAGTGGATATCCTTGTCTTGCTCTTGATCTTAGATGGAAAACTTGAAGGAAAGATGCTAGGTGTGGGGAGTTTGTGGACATTCTTTATCTTGAGTCACCTCATGTCCCAAGTTGGCTGAGTATTTGATGCTTGTTGGGCTTTTTGTTTGGACATTGTTTTTTGTTGTTTTCAGCAGTGAGGTTCAAGCAAGCTAGCTAAGTGCTCTGTCATTGAACATCCCTCTAAGACCTATTGATTTTCAATCGTGAAAAGGTGTTAGATTTTGATAAAAGCCTTTTCTGCATCTGTTGAGATGACCATGTGATCTTAACCCCTTTATTAGCATGTGTTATCTTATTTTCATGTCTTGCATTCTTGCAATAAAGTCTACTTGATTGTGGCAGGATTTATGTGATGCTGGATTCAATTTGGACCCAATTCATTTCAAGCCAATCCCTACTATGTTGTTGAGAATTCATATGGAACATGGCTTTGTTTTCTTTAATGCCCTAGTCTAGCTTCTGTACAGGCTAGGCAGCAGCTTCTTGGCTGTTTATTAGAGTTCCTGTGACGTTTCTTCTAGTTCTGCTTTCATGATCATACAGGAACACCCCTGGAATCTTTCAAAGTCAGACCTGACTTGTGTTGCTGCTACTTTACTAAAACATGGGATTTCAGTTTTCTCACCCACGTCTTTGGTTTCAAAGAGACTTTAACTTTCTTAATATTGTTGTGAGCCACCGTGAAAACACAATGCTAAGTGCCAGGCCATGCTGGGCACTGTACTGAACTCTTTACTCTGCAGTGAATTGTCACAACCCTGTTTAGATTTGATTTGATTGCTGTCATGCTCATTTCACAAAGAAATACAACCAGGAAATAGAGGTCAGGGAACTTGCCACTGAGTCTGTAAAATAAGAAGTTCCTGATAAGAGGAACCAAACTGAAAAACCAGGTCCACAGTGCTAAGTGTTACGTTCAATGTTTACAGTTTTCAAAAAGGATGTTCTCTGTGCTTAAGACAATTTCAGAAGTGGGCCGAATAGTTTGAGAAATGTCAACATACTTTTTTGCTTTTCTAAAGTTATGTATGGTTTATACAAAAAGACCATTTAAATTATATTTGTTGTTTTTTTATTTTCAAAGACAAATGGCAGATGCAGTCTATTTGAAGGCTTCTTCAACAGCAAATAAGTGCTTTCTCCTGGGGAAATGCTGATGTGCTGATTCTTTCTGCTCTCAATGGCTTACGGGGCAATTCAAGGCTGAGTTCCTTCTCTGCTCACAGCAAAGGCACATACTGCACACAGCAAACATGAAAATGTGTTACACAGTAGAAAAAACTACACAAGGCACTAGAGCTACTTTTATGCATCTATTATGTCTGAGATTCTACCCAAATGTGAGGAGCAAAGTCCAAGTGATCGTGGCTGGGCTCCCAGAGCCCAGATTTGAACTGAGGTGCACCACATACTGTACATCCTAAGAGTACAACTTTGCAAATTGAACTTTAAGAACCAGGAGTGACTAGGCTAGAAGTGGAGCTCAAGAAATAGAATATTAGTTGAGTATGCAGGGGGTCCTGGATTCTAACTCCAGTACCATTTTGAAAAAGTCAGAAAATCTGAGTAGGAAAGTAATAGCTGAAGAATGGAGTTACTAAAAGGCAGTCAAGGAAAACAGGGCCATCATAAATAAGCAGCATAGACACGCTGGGGAAAAGGCCAGAGGGGCAGGTTAGTCCCAGGTCTGACTCAAGGGAAGGAATAATGAAGAACACAGTGGGGTGGGAGTCCAGTGTGCACTGATCTCCAGTTAGAACCTCATACTTCATGCGGCATGTGTGAGAGAATAGTGTGAATCCTAAAGAGCAACTGATAGTTTGCTTTTGTTTTGCAGGTTTCGGATCCAAAATCAGTTTGACTTAAAAAGCATTTTGAGATCATGGGGTATCACTGATCTTTTTGACCCACTCAAAGCTAACTTGAAAGGAATTTCAGGTAATAATTTTTCAATTCTTCCAATCTTTGGGGGGCATTATGTTTGGGACAGTTTTGTTAGACTCTGATTAAAAGAATCTTTATTGTTTCCATAGAGCTTTTGACAGCGAAACACTTGATTGAAAGAATAAAGTGGTTGGCTTTATGTAGGAATGTGGTGCCTCTGATAACATCAAGTTTGGATTAGATTTAGTGGGTGAGGGTGCTCCTTGGGGATATTAACCACGCAATTGGAAACCACCTTCACAGTGGAGAAAGTGGCCATAAGTAGAAAGCCCTCCCTCTGCCATGACCAGACTCTCATGAAGACTAAGGCAGCACCAGAACCTTCAGCATCATGGTCATCCCATTGCAACCCTTTTCCTTCCTGGTTGCCTTTAACTCCCCCTGCCTTTTGTGATGAGCTAAGTGTAAACCTTTCCTTCATCCATTCCTCAGATTTCCAGTGCTTTCATGACCTTGCCTCAAGATGCTCTTCTTCTTAGCATCCATGCCCAACTTCTTTTCCATAGTTAACATGCTGCTGCCGATCCACAGGGACCATGGTAGCCTGTCATCTGAGCTTACACTGCACACCGAAAGGAAAAGGAATGGTAACATCACTTGGAGAATTTCTTGAGGGAACCACTCTCTCAACTTTTGCCAACTCAAAGGCCCTGGACTGTATCTACTCTACAGATTAGCTGTGAGCAGAAAACACTGCAGCAGACATTCTCATTAGTGTTGACATTGCCTTTACTTGGTGAACTTGAAAGTTACCATCTTCAACACCAGACCATTGGAATACCTGGTACTAAAACTTTGTTCAGAATCCTTCTTGATCACAGAAATAATGAGAGTCTGATCATCAAGTCCTGGCTTGTGCTTTAGACGTAACCAAACAGAACAGCAACAAGTTACTTATTAAATAAAGCATGGCAGGAAACATCTAATTACAGTACTAAAAATTTGCCATCTCGGGGCTACAAGTTCATAATAAAGTGCTTGCTGAGTATGCACAAAGTCCTGGGTTCCATCTCCAACGCTACAACACACACACACAACACCCCCCCCCCAAAAAAAAAACCTACCTATCACCGCTTTACTTGTCTAAATGTACAGAGATAAGACAATAGTTAGGCTTTCTAGTGTCCAAAGTACTTGGTATACAATTAGACACAAGGCCAATACTGAACCACAAGCCACACATTTTCCTTAACAGGCATGCTTTAACACTGCAGGAAAGGAAAAATATAACAGCAAAATGATCAAAGGCAAGGAGCGAGGGACAGCCAAGTTATGCACATTCTATCTTATAATGGGCAAGCAGGTGGTCTTCTCAAGGCTTCAGAATTCAGCTAATGGAAATTCTATTACTCTTTTAGTCATCCAAATTAAAAACTTTAGGGTGCTGGGTTTGGTACCCAGTACCAGAAGGAAAAAATTAGCCAGCTTTGAGGCTATTCTTGGCCCTTTCTTCCATACCACTGCATTAATCCGTTTTACTGTTGCTCCTTCATAATTCCTGGCCTTTCTCCCTCAGAATGTGAGAAAGTCATATTCAAATGTCAATCTTGTAGTGTTCTTCACCCATCTTGCAGTCCCACTATAAGCAAAAATACCCATGGCCTATATGATAAGTGATCCACTGTTTTGGAGACAGAAATGCTCACTGGGATTAGGCTACACTGGGCAGCAAGCTACGGGACTCCAAGCCTTTCTCCCTTACTCCTTCCAGCCCATGCAGTGCTGGAACCGCACACACTACCGTGTCCCTTCACCTTAACATGGGTTCAAATCTGGGTCCTCATGCTTACACAGCAAGCACTTTACCAACTGAGCCATCACCCCAGCCTGTCTCCAAGTCTTATGGGTACCATTTAGATGGCTCGCATCTAATCCAATTCATTTACTTACATTTGTTCAAATGAATTGAACTACAGGCTCAAAGATCTGGCTTACTTAATAATTCAGCATGTGTTAAATATGGACCTTGTATTCAAGTTTCTTACTGATAAGACTTAACAATCTTCTTCCCTTGTTTTGTGCCAATAATATAGAAATCAACAAATGATGACCCAATACCTGCTTTTATTAATTAAGCAGCTTACACTTATTAAAAATAATCTGCCGGGATGTGGTGGTGCACGCTTTTAATCCCAGCACTCAGGAGGCAGAGGCAGAGGCAGAGGCAGATGGATCTCTGTGAGTTTGAGGCCATCCTGGTCTACAGAGCAAGTTCTAGGACAGCCAGAGCTGCTACAGAGAGAAACCCTGTCTCAAAAAAATAATATAAGGCTGTTTCTTGCTCTGGTAATGAAACTGAGTTACTGGGACAGATATGAAATTGGTGATAGTTAAAAATTTTAATATCTGACCCTTAATAGATACATCTTGCCAACTAAGATATAGCTTTCCAAAGACCTTCTTTAAACATGACCCAAGACCACTCATGTCATACCAGTGGGCTTCTGCCTATTGTAGAGACAAGGCCATTAGAACAAACGGAGAGCTACCAGCCACCTTACCAATTGTATGGCACAATATCTTGGTTTTTAAAATTAAACATTGTGTGTGCATGCTGGGTGGGGTGGAGGGAGTACATGATCCACACATGTGGAGGTCAGAAGACAACTCTGAGAAGTCGGTTCTCTCCTTCCACTTTTATGTATGTTCCAAGGACTGAACCAAGTCATCAGATTTGTGAGGCAAGAACCTTCACCTACCTGCTGAGCCATCTTACCAGCCCTATCTGCAGTTTTTTTTTTTGTTTTGTTTTGTTTTTTCGAGACAGGGTTTCTCTGTGTAGCTTTCTGCCTTTCCTGGAACTCGCTTTGGAGACCAGGCTGGCCTCGAACTCACAGAGATCCACCTGCCCCTGCCTCCCGAGTGCTGAGATTAAAGGCGTGCGTCACCACCGCCACCCAGCTCCTTATCTGCAGTTTTTACAAGAGAAGAAACGATCAGAAAACAGAGCCATCCTCTCTTCAATTAACAAGGGGTCACCACATTTTGTATTACCGAGGAAGCCCAACAAAGCTTTCCTTTCCATTAGGTTCCAAAGCCAGAATCACTTACAATCTCCTTTCCCAGCTAAAAAGCACTTCTCTTATTTTAAGAACTCAACATTTCAAAGCTCACCTGAGCCTAGATATAGCTCCCCCTCCTCACTGACACCTCTACAGATCACAAAGTTATTGAATTGTTCCAGTCTCCTCACTCGAGAGAACAGGTAGGCCCCTTTCTGTGTAATCCCCTCCCTTAAGAACCATCAGCAGCAGGCTTTGATACAAACACCAGTTCAGGAGGTGTTCCTTGTGTACAAACTCAAAACTCTTTAGAAACCATTCTAGTCTTTGCTTTCATAAGCAGGTAGTCAGCTTCCCATTTCTGCCCTGTAAGAAGTTCAAGCCAAGGTAATGACTCCAATAAGCCAATTGTCTAAAGTGCATGAATTAGCTTGGGTCAGAGGGAGCAGTCAACACTGCACAGGAAGGAATAAGGAAAGAATGAGGCAAAGACAGAGAAAGCAACCAACTATAGCTAGTTGAGCCACCCAAGACTCTTCCTGACACTTCATATCCTGGGTTAGCTGCAACAGTACACTAGACACCTACCAGTCATTTCTTAGTAGCTAAGTCAAAGGATGAAAAAGACAAGCAAGTAGCTCTTCCTAAAGGAAATCATCATCATCAGAGACACAAAAGGAAGCAAACGATGCCCATCCCCGTCCTGAGGAGGAGCTGATGTCAAAAGGCAGACAATGATTTACAAACGTGTGGCCAACAGTAGACCAAGCCAGGGGGTGAGAAATGAATACTTGCCAAAGACCACAGCGTGCTTACTCCTGGATATATACACCAACCACTTCTTTGACACGTGTATGTACTAAGCATTATTCTGAAAATTGGGCAAAGTAGTAAAGTGAATATGCCATAATTTCTACTTGCTAGAGCTAACAGTCTAAGAGGGAGGGGCAATCCTTAATAGTGCCATGGAAGAGAAATGGGCAGTATGCTGGGAAGAAGGGCAGAAGAATCCTTCACATTTGCTGTGTAACATGTAATATGGGCACTGATGTTTATAGTTGGCTGAAGTGCTTTCCAGAAAGTTCAGATAGTAAACTGGGATAAATGGGAGGTGAGGGTGGCTTTGGGGTTCAAAGCTATGTACTGCAGTTCTGCTGGAGCCACTCAACAGCAAACATTAGCATATCGGCAGCTCAAAGAAAGTTTCCTACTCACAACAATGTGGGAGCTATTAATGTGCATCTCCCACTTTAACTTCAAAGATGTTATGTTGGTGGCATACTAGCTATGAGTAGTCTCAGCTATGGGTATGCAAACACCAACAATTATTGGGTCATTCTTAGAATCTGGTGGGGGAAAAATCTACTGAAGCAACGCACTTGCCGTTTCAAAGACACTGAAAACAGCCCGACTTAGCTTACAGAAGATGTATTCAGATTTGCTGTATGTTAGTTGACAAGAGGTTTCAAAGAGAAGCTTCACTCATTTAATCATAACAAAGTGTTCAGACGGAATAGTAATGAAGTCACAGATAGTAAAGCCTCAACTGATTATCAAAGCTGCTCTTTACAAAACTTGAATTTTGCCACGGTTTGCTCAATGGGCTACAAGTGGTTAATCCTTAACAGAGAATCTTGTTTCTTCTCTCCAAGCAGAAAAAGACCATTAAACCAACCTGACTCTCCACTGGTACCAAGTGAACATCTACTGACTTCTTCCTGTCCTCTACTGCCAGCAAAGTTGTTCCCTGTAACGGGAATAACCATCTGATACCCCATTGTCTCACTGCAATGATGATACACAAGAATGTGTACCCTGAGCTCCTTTTTAATCTCATATAACCTTCAGGGGCCATCTCCTTGCATGTGCATGTCTAGTGCAGACCAATCGAACAAGCAAAGCTTCCTAAATACATCAAAATGACTGCTAAGACCCAAGTCTCTCTGATGGTGTGCTACTGAAGGCAGTTTCTTGAATGGAAGGGGTTGGGTAGAAATGGGCTTTGGGTCTGAAACCTGGATATTCTCAGTTCTGATGGGGTGTGTGTGATACCAGATTAGCACTTCCTCTCAGACAGAAGGGCTGGGCAGCTTAAAGTCTTAGCTGACCTTCGCCCTTTATTGCAACATATATTTCATCTTTGGAGAATTGTTCAATTACAGAAATCTGTCAAGCCTTCTAAGTTCTCTCATTACTATTTGCTAAGCTTATCTTTTAAAGTGTTAGCACACATACAGCTATAACCTCACATTTCTCTGCAGGTTCCAGCTGTTAATGTTAACTAGCCAAGCAGCACAGCCAGCTCCACAGAATGGAAGGAACAGCAGGCATTTCTAACACTGGATTATCCTCAATACAATCCTGTGACTTTATCTTCAGTATCTTAAGAACTACAGCCCAAGAAGACAGTCAAGGGGAAATTATCTCAAAAGCTTCTTGACCTTCTTCCTGGGCAATAGTAACTACTTTATAACACACTCTTGGGAGCCTAATGACTTACCTAAGTTCTAGAAATATAGGCTAAAGATTTTAATATTAACATTTAAAATGAACTTTATGAGTTCAGTCTCTACTAATTTGGGGGAAGCTGTATGAAATTTTGTGAATAAGGCTTTTGAGAGTTGGAGAAAAACAATAAAGTGGCAGTTTCCTATCTAATCACTCCCTATGTACTTGCAGCACTGACTACCTATGAGTCTTCAAACACATACATGATGCATACAGAAAACGTAAGTAAGTCACTTCACGTTTCTGTCATTTTCGAATTAGGACAAGATGACTTTTATGTTTCTGAAGCAACCCACAAGGCCAAGATGGAGCTTTCAGAGGAGGGCACCAAGTCATCGGCAGCCACAGGTACATCCAGAAGTCCAGGCACTCAGCAGTGTAGAGCGGCTCACGCAGGTCTAACCTTGTTGAGTCTGCTCAGTTGACTCCAGTAGTAAACCACACCACTTAAACCCAAGCCCAGGTGTGATGTCGCCTTTTTTTTTTTTTTTTAAATGACAGAAGCCAAAATCTTTTGAAAAGCAATGATACCAATTTTAACAAAGTATCATTGTCCCAATCAACAAAGAATAGAATTATACAGCATTTCACCTTTGAGGGAAGCTATTTCATGGAATATTTTAAAAATGAGACACAGGATTGGTTAAGTAGTATCTTTCCTCTTTAATTTCACCATTTGCACTCCCATAGTACCACACAGAAAAATGTCACTAAGATGTGTTGACTCCTTAAAGACAAATCAAGGTTAGTACCTATGTATCTACAGCTGCACGTGCTTTGCAGTGGACAGGAAACGTGACAGGGTCTATTCTCTCCCCAGCTGTGGTGCTGCTGAGGAGGTCCCGGACTCCTGCTTTTAAAGCAGATCGGCCCTTCATCTTTCTTCTGAGAGAACATAGCACAGGTACTGACTCGTAAATTTGGATTCAGACATTTATCTTCATCTCTCTAGCAACCTAATTTTACTTAACCACTACAATCTCAAATAAGTATTTCTTCTAGCTCTTTCTATGGTGTTTTCCTAGCTGCTGCTGTCTTACACCCTGAGAAAGGAAATTATTTCATAGTACAAAGGAACCTCTTCCTGGCTTTTACCTTTCCATTCTATTTATTTGTAGCTAATGCTGACCTTTTTTAGTTGAGTACATTTCTGCTCTAGAGACTTAAAAAGCTATGAAAACACAAGTCAATCAAATCTTGCCTTTCTTGTTGCTGTCATATCATTTTAGAAAAGAGTTTTTTCCAGGCCAAGATACATCACAGAAATCACCTAGAGACTCTAGTATTTTAGCGATGCACAGAATTCTATGCTGTTTGCTGGCCTTTCTCAAAAACCAAATACTTGTCATAGTACTTTCCCAAGCCACTACAGAGAGAGAAGACTCAATGCAAAGATGACAGGCACAGGTTAGTCTAGCTAGCACAACAGGACAAGCAGATGCCCCTAACCCTAAAGTCCAGCAAGATTCAAAATAGCCTTTCAACTATTTTTTCCCTTAATTGTTCTCCCAACAATTATTGGCCTCAAAAGGAAGCGATTCTCAGTAAAGAGTTGTTGGCAATTCTCAGTAGTGTTTAAGACAACAGTATGGAACAAGATTAATAAAATTAAGCCAAGGTGGATCTACTTTAACTAAACATCAGGCAGTACTTTTATTTATGGAAAGAAAAAAAAATACCGAAAGTTTGAATGAAACTTAGTATAGTTTAACATAGACCGTTAAAAGGAGAAATACTGTCAACATCATTTTATCTGAGAATCATTTGTATACTGCCATAACTTGTGTTAAAAATCAAAGGAACACTTCATGACAAAAAGGATGTAGCTAGTTATTCCCTAGAAAATAATCTACTTGGGGATCATTTGGGAAGAGTGTTCATAACAATGTCCATTTAGTATTCACCATGACCACTCCAACACCAGCGACTGCCGACTAGACAAACATGATAACTTAGAGCAGGCAGCAGAGAGTATGTCAAAAAAAAAAGCCTCATCCTTCACTGTTAAAGCTT